CCTCATCCCAAGAAAGCAGGACTCTTGGAACAGTTTCATTCCAAAAAGAACTTTTATTAGGAGAAGTTGATAGCAGGCATAGAAGGCATGATCTGAGGGTTTCCTGCTCAGATCAATAGGTTCAAAGAGTCCCAAGCAAACCCTACCCCAATAGTTCATCCAGACAATTTAAATGAGCTAATCCCCAGGTGTTATATCCGCTGTGGGAATGGAGCTGATGACGGAGTCCATTCTCATGCCTTTGTTGGGTCTTCACACCTTCTCTTCCGCAGCGAGAGATAAGCCAGATGGCCGGAGGCACATTCCTTTCTCACCCCAGGTTGACATCAAGGGAGAAACAGTTCAAAGAGCATGTAGAAGCAGCAGAAGTAGTAGTAAAGCAAAAGAGTCTCCCCCCTACCCCTCAGGAGAATGGCAGAACCCACAGAAAGAAATGAAAAATGAATTAAGACCTCCACCGAGGAATGAAATGGGTTCTGTCATGCCACCCCCCTTAAAAAAAAAGAAAGATCCACCTGTAGAAAGATAAAACAAAGAGAGATAGATATAAATATTAGTCAGGTTTATCTGGATATGCAGCATGAAATTTACTAAGCAATCTGGGAGCTCTAATGTGATGTTGCTGAATTCATTCATTTTGGGAGGGAGGCAGATGTTTCCATGCTACCAGGTATTGGGTGGAACCATATGTTTCCTGGAGTCTAGGACAGTGGTGGTGAACCTATGGCACCGGTGCCAGAGGTGGCACTCGGAGCCCTCTCTTTGGGCACACACACCGTCTCCCCAGCACTGCCTTCGCCCACAGACCCCTCTTCACAGCAGCTCCCCCGGAGGAGAGTCGCCTCTGGGCATGGCCCACACAAAGCAGTGCAGCCAAGGAGATGGTAGTCGGGCAGTGGGGACAAGATTCCACCCTTGTGCCCCATTGCATGCAGATGATGATGTGGGGCATGGGTGGAGGGCGTGGCTGCCATGATGCTTCTGGGCTGCCTGGGTAATCTGAGGTGGGCTGTGGAGGTGGTGGGTGGCCCAATGGGCAGAGTGGAGCAGGGACCGGGGGGGGCAGTTTTTGGGCACTTGGTCTCTAAAAGGTTCGCCATCATTGGTCTAGGATCTCCTTGATTTCAAAATGCTGTTCACCTTCTACCATGATTGGAGGAGGGGAAGGAGCTGCAGCTGGCCTTAAGGATGACTGCAGTTCGTGTTGCAGAAGGCTGCAGTGAAAAATTGGGTGAACCTGTCTGAATGTCTTAGGGAGCTCCAATTCTATTGTGACAGGATTGATTATTCTTCTAATGGAAAATGGCCCCACAAATTTTGGCCCTAGATTCTTTGAGGGCTGCAGGGATTTTAGGTATTTTGTTGACAGATAAACTTTCTCTCCTACTTGAAATGGTTTGGGTTCACTTTGTTTCTTATCTACCCAGAATTTATATGCTTTTCTAGCCTCGTCTAAAGCCTTCCTTAGAACCGACCAGCTATTTTGTAATTGTTCAATCCATTCCTTCAGGGAAGGGATAGTTGGTTTGCTCAATGGTAATTCAGGCATTGGGTTGAAACTTTGTATGGTTGCAACTTGGAAAGGAGTGTAGCCCGTGCTGGAATGTACTGCATTGTTATAAGTGACTTTTGCGAACAGGAGTAGTTCGGTCCAGTTGTCTTGCTTGTAATTAATGAAACATCTTAGGTACTGCTCCAATACTGAGTTCGACCGTTCGGTCCCACCATTCGTTTGCAGACGATGACTAGATGACAACCCCTGAGTGGTCTCCAATAGTCCCAGGAATGCTTTCCAAAACTCTGATGTGAATTGTACTCACCTGTCTGATACAATTCGTTGTGGAGCACCATGAAGTCAATAAATACGTTGGACGAATAACTTTGCAAGTGTCTTTGCATTGGGGATTTTTTGGCATGGAATAAAATGTACTTGTTTAGAGAACAAATCGGTCATGATCCAAATGACTGTGTTCCCCCCACTTTCTGGTAACTCCACAATAAAGTCCATAGAAATTTCGTTCCAAGGCGCTGATGGGGTTGCTACTGTTTGCAACAAGCCTGGGGTCTTCTCTTCTCTCCTTTTAGCTGCAGCACATATTGGGCAACTAGCCACATAGCTTTCAATGTCCTTTTTTATCGATGACCACCAAAACTGCCATTTCACTAGGTGTAAAGTTTTTACAAACCCAAAATGACCAGCTGATTTTGAGTCATGGCATAGCTGCATAAAAATCAGTTTATGGCTTTTTGGAATGTAAAACTTCCCTCCCACCCATGGCAGTCCATCAGTCATGGTGCACAGGTTCTTGTGGCTTAGGAACCATTTGTCGGTCTCTGGTGCTTTTTTGAATTCAATCCCTTTTTTGGCTCGCTAGAGGCTTCTGGATTTTGGCTTGTGCTCAGGTGGTAACTCGCGCTGCCAATTGTTTTGCTGGCATGAGTGGGTCTGTTATCTCTATCCTATTCTTTCCTCCCGGTAAGTGCTTTCGGGTGAAATTAAATTGGTGGAAATGCTGCAATCACCTCGCTTGTTTAGGGGTTAGTTTTCTAGGCATCTTTAGGGCTTCTAGGTTCTTGTGGTTGGTCCATACCTAGAAAGGGATTTTGTTCCCTTGCAGGAAATGCTACCAGGTTAGGAGGGCCCATTGGACAGCATAAGCCTCCTTCTCCCAGACTGCCCACCTTTGTTCTGTCTCTATGAGTTTCCTCGATTAGTACTGCCCTCACAGCTACATCGCTGGTATCAGCTTGAATCACGAATTGTTTATCAGTATCAGGGTGTCTTAGAACTGGTTCTGCAGAAAATAGTATTTTCAGTCTTTCAAATGTGGTTTGACATTCTACTGTCCATTTCAAAGGCTTTGGCTTCCCTTCCCCTTTGGTTTTTAGTAAGTTAGGAATAGGCAACGCGATCTGTGCGAAAGAGGGAATGAATTGCTGGTAAAAATTAGCAAATCCAAGGAAGCTTTGCAATTGCTTTCTGGTGCGGGGCGGAGCCGACTCTAATAAAAGCTTGGACCTCCCTCCTTCCTTCTGCTGGGTGGGGGATGTGTCTCACCCCTTGCAGCCCTGTGCCCTCAACATAGACCTTGTGCAGTGGCAGGCTGCAAACTAATGAAAGCTGTTTTTTTGGAGTACTTGTTTCTTTTTCTCAATGTGCTGCCGATCGCATCGTACTATTCCCCCCTCAGCTCCTTTCCCCAGTCCCATGGAAGGCTGCAAGAAGCTCCCATTGCAGCTTCTCTTATCTCTCCCATTCTTTTCCTCCCCAATGTCACAGTGTGGAGCTGCAAGAGGTGAGACCCCCCCCCCGTGCACATGTGCACACACACACACACTCACACAAACACATGCGTGGGTTCTGGGAGAGGTGAGCTGAGAGCCATTTGGAGGCCCTTCAGGAGCAGAGGCAACGACAGGGGAAGGGGTTAAAATGGGAAGCCTCTGCCCGGAGCCTCTGGCAACTTAAAAAAAAAAAATGTGCAGAGCAGCGGCTTCCCTTTTTGTCCACCCTCCACTCTATTGCCTCCATGCCAGGATTGAGTCTACACCTGCCGAAAGGGCAGTTCTGCTTCCAACCTCCCCATACCAAAAGACGCATGCCACTGCCGTTCACCTGCCATGTCCCCCCCACAGCCCCTGTGATCACTTATTGCATGCTGGCAGGCAGAAGCCCCGTGGTCTAAAGGTCCCATTTTCTCTCCTCTGCGCTCAGGAAGGGATGAGGATAGGACGAGAGATTGGTAGTGTTGCCAGTGGCTGGGGACGGGACAGTCCCAATGAAAGGGAAGCCTTGCAGGCTGAGGCCAGGTCGGCGAACGGGACATGGAGGCACTAGTGTGGGCGTGGTGCTGATCTACAACTTGGTGTGGAATGTTGTCAGCCTTAGATCTGCGGCGCTGCCCTGGAGCCAGTAAGGGGCCACCTCATCGCCTCGTCCCCACCCCCTGGGCCTGCGCCCAGGAGGTGGTGAGCATGTGAGGACTGGCATCCCGAGTGAAAGGGAAACTCTCAGAATGCAGTCCCTAGGGATACCAGGCCTCACATGCTTGCTGCCTCCTGTGTGCATACTCAGAGGGAGGGGCAGGAGCGATTTCTTGCTGGTTCCAGGGCAGTGCTACGGATCTAAGGCTGACTATATTGTAGATCAGTGCCTGGTTGGCCTGGGCCGTTTCCAAGGTGGTTCCACTGGCCAAATCTAACTTCACGGCAGGCTGGATTTGGCCCGCAGGCCTTGTGTTTGACATGTCTGGTCTAGGCTATTTGCTAGCAGAGAAGCATTCTCTGCCACACCTTTGGTCCTTTGGAACATCTTGCTTCCTGAGGCTAGATTGGCTTCCACCCTCCTGATCTTCTGTAAAAGCCTGAAGATCTGACTATGTCAGTTGTCTTGGGGCCCCAATGGGGGTATATCACACTTGAGGAGGGTTGATAGACCAATTCAACTTCCCCGATGCATTCTGCTCCCTCCCTCTCCGTCTTTTAGTCATAATCTGTATTTTTTAAAATCATGATCAGGTATATGTATATTGTTGTGGTTTTATTGCTTTTAATGTTGCAAGATATCCAGAGTCACCCTGTGGTGAGATGGGCAGCAAACAAATTTAATAAATAAATAAAAATAAAAATTGCTTGGTTATGGTGGTGTAGCAATCTAATATATAGATAAAATTCTCAGTGTGATACAGTTGAAGCAGTCTATAAGCAAAAATAAAAAAAATAAATTTTTACTGCAGCTCTGTTTTATCAACATTAAGAATGCAAAATCATTTTTAAAACAGTGTAATTTTTAAATAACTAAATTTTGTATAGAATATGCTGATTTTGACCTGTTTGTATCTGTGTGGCATACATGAACTTGAAAGGTTATCCTTCCCCTTGTGCAGAACTTATGTATTAAGAGTCTTTATGCATCAACCCTTTATCTTAAGTTTATGCAATTTAGTTGTCTTGATTTTTTGTCATTAATATTGCCCTTCACATAAGTCTTTTCTTTCCAGGCTGTCCTTTTGGTGTATGATGTTACCAACCAACAGAGCTTTGAAAACTTAGAAAATTGGTACAGTGTTGTAAAGAAGGTCAACGAAGAGTCAGAAACTCAACTACATGTAGCCCTTGTAGGTAATAAAAGTAAGTTATTAAATTGTTATTTAACTGGAATCTTTTGACATACCTAAAATGTGGATCAGCGGTATGAGCCCCAATCTTGCTGACATTGGTACATGTGTGGTTCCTTTCATTTTATTGGCACATGGTGCATTGATTTTGGCAGGCTCAGAATGTAAAATGTAATATTTCATGTATTAGACCAAATGGGGAATGCTGTGTTTGACAGCAATCACAATGTTTAGTTTGATGGGGGAATATCATTTCATGGAAATATTTTGCTTCAGTGATTAGCAGTATGACATTGCCCATAACACTTGGGAAGTTTTGTCAATTTGTTTTCCTGATTTTATTTTTAATACAAAATGGCTTTTTATTGTTTGGAATCCCTATATTTAAGCCATCAAGAAATTGTGCCTAACTTTTTTCCTACCTTTGTTAATAGGTAACAAATAATAAAATTTTTCCTGAGAAAAGTTTATTTCTATGGTCAACATATTACAGGTAGTCCTCGATGTACGATCACAACTGAGCCCAAAATTTCTGTTGCTAAGTGAGACATTTGTTAAGTGAGTTTTGCTCCATTTTATGACTTTTCTTGGCATAGTTGTTAAATGAATCATTGCAATTGTTAAGTTAGTAACACGATTATTAAGTGAATCTGGCTTCCCCATTGACTTTGCTTGTCAAAAAGTAGCAAAAGGTGGTTACATGATTTCAAGACACAGCAATGGTCATAAGTATGAAGCAGTTGCCAAGCATATGAATTTTGATCACATTTTCATGGGGATGCTACAAAGGTTGTAACTGTGAAAAATGACCATAAGTCAGTTTTTTCATTGCCATTGTAACTTTGAATGGTCACTAAATGAACTATTATAAGTTGAGGACTACCTATACCTGAATTGGCTTAAACATTGAAGAGCTTAAAAAAATTAAAGATTGCAATAGGATAGATATGTTTCCTCCTCCTTTTTCTCCCCCTCCCCCTCTTCCCCAATGCTATTATGAACCTTGGTTTCCTTGCAGACTTTTTAAAAACTTTTTTACTTGGCTATTCAGTTTGTCAAAAATAAGACTGTTGAATGGCAAAACAATCAATAAAACATTGATTTTATTAGAACAGGGGTCTCCAAACTTGGCAACTTTAAAACCTATGGACTTTGGCTCCCAGAATTCCTCAGCCAAGCAAGTTGAGGAGTTGACGTCCACAAATCTTAAAGTTGCCAAGTTTGGAGACCTCTGTATTAGAACAATAAAAAGATTCATTTTACAGTAAGTGAGATAGTTATGTTAATTACAAAATATATTGTTGCTTTATAGCATTATTTCATTATCTTAATTTTTTATCACTTTTATAAAAGCAGATTTAAGGATATTGTATAATAGTGAAATTGAAATACTAATAATTAGGAGAAAGACAAAACCAATATAGAAGTTAATTCTGCATAATCATAGTGGCAGTATTGACATCCTTACATTCCCTAATGAAGCAAAAGATTTCACCCTGTTTCTAGGATCTCATGGAGAGGGAACTGGGACTATGCTCTGATATTCAGTTGATAGTTGACCCTTTTCCCTCTTAGACTCCATTATTGGGAGGGGACGGACCATTGAGTATCTTTCTATACAAGCTGTTTAAACTTGAGTTCCAACTTGTGGCTCTTTAAAACTACAGGGATTTTCAAGATGAACAGGTATTTCAGACTGATATATCATTGCTGAGCCTCAGAGAACCTCAGGTATTTTTGAAATAACTTTTCTCCAAGCAAAGAGTGCTGTTTCTCCAACTTTCAATTCAATAGTGCCAAAAAGATGGGAGGGATTCCCTTACAAACAGATGAATGGTAAACCAGAGTGGTCTCTTAGGATGCTTTTAAGAAGCAGTGACTTTGGCAGTGAGAATAGAAACAATGAATTCAGTTATGGCTGTTGCCTCCTTGCTCTAGACCAAACATTCACAGATATTCCAGTAGATATTTGAAGGCTTGAATGAACTGGCAAAGGCATCAGTGTCCATGACATTGAGCATGATGATTTGCTGGGGACTATGATTTAAATACAGAGAACTGTTGGTTCAAAATCCTTGCTACCTTTTGGGGATGGGGATGAACCATTAGCATCAGTTCTGATGGAGAACAAGGCATTAAAAGGCCTGGCCTGCAGAAATATGACACCAGATCCAAGAAAAATATTGTGAATTTTCACAATAGAGACCAAGAAATTATAACTCTTGATCAGGAACCAGACAGAGTGGCCCTTCAGCAGAGATTAACAAAACTCACCTTCTCCTGGCTCGGGCAAATGAACTGTAGCATGATATCGCAGAACTCCAGGTGAACAGCTTGTAATTTTTTTTTAAAAGATATTTTATTGGTTTTTTGTTTCTTAGAACAAAGTGCTTGAGACACACCATGGTGCTGGGGTAATCAAACATCCAAAAATAAAACCATATATGAATAACTGAAATCAATACATTAGATATTCCCTCTCTATTTCCATCAGATAACATGATATATTTAAAATAATCCATTTCTAGATTACATTTCTATAAATTCTAAACCTGTTTTTAAGCCTTATAAATTTACAGTTACCATAGTCAACTTTAACCTTAAATAAACACATTATCACTTCAGGTATCCATTCCAGGTATATTCTAGTTCTGATTTCTTAAGTCCTTAATTTTATCACAAATCTTATTTCTTTTTCCATTACACACTATGTATCCTGATTAAAATAAAATATTAGTCTACCCTATACATATATAGTCCATCAATCAATCAATTTCTTTAACCTAGCAAAATAATATCAAATCTTAAATCATTTCAGTCTGTTAGGTAAGATTCAAATTTCATCCAAGTAATTATCATGCATAAAAACACCCATATTATCACACAAAAACATCATCTTACTAATTTAACATGTTCAATTAATTATTGAGTCAATCCAGATCTAAAGGATTTTCTTCATTCCATTACATAATAGTTTTCGTAATAAACCTATTATTCTAAAAAGTACATTCTTAGTCTATTTAAAATATGTATTCTAATAATCACCCATTTTTCTCTTACTTCTAACTTTAGATCTTAATCCTTAAATCAATCAATAGTTCTACAGTGCCTTTTAATCCATTACATATAATTTTAAGTTTCTCTTTTCAGTCTTATTCTAGCCTTCTTTTTGTGCCAGGCAGGTTTCCATAACAAAGCTTCCCTTTCAGCTGATAGATCTCCTTCTGTTGCTTGTAGTGTCATTTGAGTCAGTAAACAGCATCCCATCCTCTGCATTGGGCATCTATTTCTCTTGTCCTTAAAGCCTCGTTGCTTTAAAGATTCAAGTCTCACTCTTTGATTCTTCTGATCCTCAAAGATATAGATGAAGTGCTTGTAAGGTAAAATAAATTCCTCTTTAATCTCAATTGATTCCTCTTCTGGTGTATTTTGATTTATAGAATGGTCAGGTGCAGTCTGAAAGTCAGTTTGAGCGTTTGGACTAAGGCTTCTTGCTCTTAGTTCTGTAGTGATCTCTTTCATTTTAGCACATATTTCTTCAGTAGCCTCATAAATCTTTTCCAATATAAGTTTACAGTTTAATTGTGAATGAGGTTTCTCCATTCTTCTTCAACTACTATTAAAATGGAGAAACTGCAGTTTGTAATGTTTTTGATGCACCTGGTGTTAGGACACATTTCAACTAGGATGTGACCTGGATTCATAAAGAATACTCAGGCAAATTTTTTACATGATCAATTTCCAAGCTTGGGAGGAAAAAACCTCTCTATAATGTTTAAGCCATCAGGTCCCTGTTAACTAGTGAATCCCATTGTAAAGTGATGCTGAACCTCAAATCCCTAAAGAGGCTCATCAAAGTTGAAGACCCTATGATCCTTTGCATAGGCTATTGTACTAGATGATTTGTTGGTATCAATGGAGCCAGTTAATCATATCAGTACATTCACAGTATCTTCAGTATCTTCAGTTTAAGACACACCCTTTCATTTGGTATCATCAATCCAGAAACTTGCCAGAGTGACAGTAGCACTGGTATGTCACTTACCTACCATGCATGTAGATATACCAGGCATATAAATGTATACTTAATTGAGGGTCTAATTTATGGACAAAGCTACAGCTAATGGTGCATGCTTAGAGGAATAGTTTCATGGAAAATTGAGCCAACTTGGTGATCCTATTTCACGTAGAGAAACTTTTTTTTGCTGTAAGAACAGTTTAGCAAAATTAGAAATATAGGCATTGCAGTCCTGTGGATTGGTTTTCATTCATACTCTCTGAAGCAATTTTCACTCACATTGTCAATGAATTGCAGCATTGATTGAAGGACATTTTAAAAAGCAAACTAGCTTTATGTTAGTGACTGACACAGACATTACTTATGAACTTTTAAGTTATGAACTTCCACTCATCCAAACAAACTTATCTACAACTCCAACCAGAATGTCCCAGAAATCAAAAGATTCGTTTACAGTGTGCCACATATATGTATGCTTGTTTGGACTTGTGAACAAAATGAACTTATGACCAACATCCCAGAACATAATCTAATAGTAAGTAGAGCACTGTTGGTACAGCTGCATTTGTTAAAATAAATACTTCTTATTGGTCTCCCTTAGAGTCACATTTAATTTGCAAAAACTTAAGAGCACAGAAGTTGTTCCATCCTCATCATCCAGCAAAAACCAAGAGATCTGTAAGTCGAGACTAAAAGAATATGTCAAGTGACATAGTGCTGATCAACATAAACAATATATTAACCATCATGCACATGGCTGTCCTCAGCAGGTGGAATTTTTGTCCAAATGATGAAATGAGCATTGTGGTATCACATTGCAAGCTTTGTCCTTCACAAAATCTACTACTAGTGCTAATCATCATAGTCGACATTACAATGCAAATTCAAAAGTGGCAGAGCTTGCATTGCCACATTGCCATATATAGAATATAGAATAATAAAATTCGAAGGGACCTTGGAGGTTTTCTGGTTCAAGCAGGAGATCCTAGACCAGA